GTTAAACTTCTTTCCCTTGTGCTTCCAGAGCTTGTTGATTCTTCTGGAAAGCATGGACAGTTCATCTTCTTCTTCAGAAGACGATTCTTCAGAACTTTCTTCTTTTACCTGCAAAGCTTTAACAGGTTTGTTAGATTTTAAAGCTATGGATTTACCTTTATCTTTCTTCTGGGGTTCATCTTCCTCCAGCTCTATTTCATGGCTTCTCAAAGAACTGATAAGTTCTTCTAAGGAGATCTTGTTCAGATCTTTTGCCATCTTCAATGCAGTCACCATTGGTCTCCATCTGGTGGGAAGACTTCTGATGATCTTCTTGACATGATCTGACGTTGAGTAGCCCTTATCCAGAACTTTCAGACCAGCAGTAAGAATCTGAAATCTAGAAAACATAGTTTCAACATTTTCAGACTCTTCCATTTTGAATGCCTCATACTTCTGTATGAGCGCCAGCGCCTTGGTCTCTTTGACCTGAGAATTTCCCTCATGAGTCATTTTGAGTGACTCAAACATGTCATGAGCAGTATCTCTGTTTGTAATCTTCTCATACTCAGTATGAGAGATTGCATTAAGCAATATAGTTCTGGCTTTGTGGTGATTCTTGAAATCTCTTTTCTGAACTTCAGTCATTGATTTTCTATCAATCTTTTTGCCATCCTCATCAGTAGGATGTTTATATCCATCAATGACCATATCCCAAAGATCAGCATCATACCCAAGGAAAAAACTTTCTATTCTATCTTTCCAATAGTCAAATTTTTCCCCATCAAACATGGGTGGCTTGGTACTGATCCTATCTCCTTCATATTTGTTGTTGCAAGTTGATGTAGATGTATCCATATTGACAACAAAACAAATATCAAAGTATCTTTCTCACAGGATCTTTAACTGTCACGGTTAAGTGGAGCACACGCAGAACCGGAGCTCTGATGCCAACTGAAGGTGAGAAAATTACTTAGAAGGGGGGGTTGAATAAGTAAGACTAAAAATCAAAGATTAGAACGCAGATATTTTTATCCTGGTTCGTTGAAAACAACTACTCCAGTCCACCCTCTCAAGAGTGATTTGCCTTTCTCTGTCAAGGACTTAATCCACTATTTTAATCAAACAGATTACAAATAGCAACACCTAAGAACAACTGTTCTTAGTCTTCTCAAGAGCAACTGATCCCAACTGGATCCTCTTAAGGAAAACCTTTTACAAACAATGTAAAACTTTTACAAGAGTAAGAATGCTTCTAATAAGTTGTTATCACAACAGTGATATTTCTCTTAAGTTAAGAATAAAGTTAAAGCAAAATAATATAATTAAGAGCTTTGAAAGATTTGCTTTGAGGAGTGATTTTGCTAGAGATTCGATACTGAAGAAGATGGAGTGGACTTCTTTATATAGGCACTAAGATCCAAGAAGTCTTGTTACGTTGAAGGCTGTGCAGAAAAGCCTGAAGCCTTTTGTCTTCACATTGGAGGCTGTGCTGAAACAAGCCTGATGCCTTTTGTCTTCACTTGCAGAAAACTTTCCTCAGAATGGAATGCACAGATAAAACCTTTTTGTCTGTGTCCTTGTGTCTAGCACAAAATAGGAAAGAGCTGTTGAGAAAAACCAACGTACATATTTAAATCTTCTTCAAAGTAAGTTCAGCTTTCAACATTAGAATCTGAATCTTCAGAGTCTCCAGACTAAGGATCATCTGGATCTTCAGAGTCTTGAATGTTCTTTAGATTGAGCTGAATCAGAGTATGTGCAGCTTGTGTGCTTGAGCGTGTAAATCTCTCAGAGCAGAGTCTTCTATGCTTTAGAGGCTCCTTCTTCAGAATCTTCAAGAGACAGTAGTCAGATTCTTCTGGGAGCAGTGTTCAGATCTTCACTTAAGATGCTCTTGAACTTATGAAGCCTTTCATAAAAACAATGTTCAGATCCAATTTTGCTTTCTTAAGATAATTTTCTTTAGTGCCTGTAGCTAGGGCTGGAAATGAGTCGAGTCGAGTCGAACTCACCTCAGCTCGGCTCGACTCGTTAAGAATTGTTCGAATTCGAGTTCGAGTTCGAGTTCGATACGAACTTTTTTTTAAGCTCAAACTCGACTCGTTATAAGTTCACGAACAGTTCGGTTCAGCTCGTTAGGTTCATCTCATTAGGTTCAGCTCACATGGTTCACGAACTTAAAAACTATTTTTTAAAATATATATATTTTTTAGTATATTTGATATTTTAAATAAATATATATTTTTTAAATAAAATATTAAAATAAAATAAAAGTTATCATATTGAAATTTAACTTTATCTTTGAAATCTACTAATTCAAAACCTACACAACTTTCAAGAGATACATTTGAGAGTCTAATTCAAAAACTACTAAATTGAAGATTAAACTTGTCTAAGATTTGAAGTAAATATTTAAACTTAATCTTAAAGATAGTATAATTCTTTTCATATGTAATCGAGTTGACTCATGAACCTAACGAGTCGAACTATGTATAGTTCAAGTTCAGCTCATTTAGTTAACGAACTTAATTTTTCGCTCATACTCAACTCATTTGGTTCATGAACCTAGTTCAACGATTTAATTATCGAGTCGAATTCCGAACTATCTTCGAGTTGGTTTGGTTCATTGCCAGCCCTACCTGTAGCAAACAATCTAGAACACGTTTAGAGTATATAATTCTTGAATACAAAATTTATAAGTGTTATCATCAAAACATAGAGATATAACTAAGACACAATCTGTGCTCTTACAAAAAAAACTAACTTTTTTTTTGAATCCGATCATTCATTTTAGAATAGAAAAGAAGTAAGGAAAACCTAAATAAAGTTAGTTAAAAAATGAAGGGTTAAATAAGTTTTTGATCCCTTTAAATATATCGAATTTTGTTTTTAGTCCATCTAAAACTTTCCTTCAAGAAATCGTCCCTTCAAAATTTTTTGTCTTAATAATTAGTCCCTAACATCAAATGTCACTAACAGATGCTTATGTGATATACCATGTGGAACTTTTTTTATGACTGGACATACACATGGCAGTGCTAGTGTGGTAAAAAATCTGACGTAGATGTCACGTGACAATTTCTTCCATTTTTTATTTTTTATATTCATAAATCCAAATTTCGTAGCTAATTCGTAGGACCTAAACTTCATTTTTTTCCTTTCCTGTTTATGAATATTTATTTAATCACATTAAGTTTAGACAGAAAATTAATACATGTATGATATTAAGACATACAATATTATAATAAAGCATTGAAACAGTAAAATAAATATTTCCTAGATCAAATTACGAATTATCTTCATATCTACTATGTGCAGGCACAACTATAGAGACATATTAAGAAAATTAGTAACCACCATTTAAGTAGGCACCAAAGCCCAAGTGCAATCCATCATGTGTAGGCATAATGATAGAAATATTGTGAAGATTGTGAGCACATCTTCTCATAACCTCGACCACGACCACTGCCTCGTGAACATTGTGAGCACATCTTCTCACAGAAGGGCATAATGTTTGCAAAATAAACTCCATGAAAGTTCTAATAGTCTCAAATGTGACCCTCTCAGTCACATCAAGAACAACTTTCCTATTAATAGGAATAACCAATGTGGACAAAATTATGCTCACCCAACCATTTTTATTCTCTTGAACACAAACATCTCCTTTCGATTCAACACATGATGTCTCTTAAGAACTTGGAGTTTCTTCAATACCAAAATAAGAAATTACACCCGAATTATCATCCATATTTGAGCTATTAAACACATGGTGAAATGTTTTAACAAGATTCTCTATGGCACCATTACAAACATCAACCAACATTTCTCTAACCCTAGTTTCATTTTTCGGATTAGTTAATCCCGAAAACAAATTATCATAAGTATTGATATGCATAGTTTTGTCAAGATAAATAGCAACCAACGTACTAACAAACACTTTAACTAAATTCCCAATTAGTTCCCCACATTTACCACCACAAACAACATCAACCCATTTCGAAACAATCAGATCAGATTTTGAACTCTCATCGTCATTACTTGAACTGGATTCTCCATTAAATTTTCCATTGGCATCTGAATAAAAACCAATATCTAAGTTCCTAACAAAGCTTTCATTAACAATATAAGCAAAACCTGAACTAGTCGGTGTAAACATTTTATCGTACATTCAGTTTATGAATATTTATTTAATCACATTAGCATAATTGAGATTATTAATTAAAATTATTAATTGAGCTTCTGGAATAATTCTAACAGATTAATGTAATCGAAGACTTCAAATTTCACAAGTTATTTTCAAAGTATAGTTAGTGATGTCATATGAATCTCATATTTTTTACCATCTTAATTTTTTTGATATTTATTTATTCCACGTGGAAAAGGGAATGTTAGTCTTAAGATATTGCGTAACTTATTTACACCAAAGTTTTTTACAGAGGTAAAAAAATGAAGTTTAGGTCATACGAATTAGTTTGAAAATAATTACGAATTAACTACAAATTATGAGTATATGAATTTTTTGTCACGTTGGCACTGCCGCGTATATGTCCAGTCATAAAAAAAATTTCACATGACATATCGTGTAAGCATCCTTTAATGACATTTGACGTTAGAGACTAATTGTTTAGACAAAAAAATTTAAAGGCATGATTTAAAAAAAAAAAGAATTTAGAAGGATTAAAAATAAAATTTGTTATATTTAGAGGGGAAAAAAATTTATTTAAAAAAAAACTATTTTAAAGTTAAAAACATTATCACTTACTTTTGTATCTTTTAATCTAGGACATAGTACATAAGATAAGATATTACTAAAATATGAAAATGGTAAATTGATGTATAATTGGAATTCGACAAAAAAAACATTCAAGCTTTGACGACAGCTCATAGCAGTGGTTGACGGCAAACGGAGACACGAACAACACAACACCAAAAAAAAAAAAAACACTATCTTTCTTCTTTTTCTGTCTTCGAAATCATTCATTCATTTTTGCGAATTCCGGTGAGGCCAACGGTGAAACATGGCCGCGTCTGGTGAGGATGATGCCTCCAAACAAGACCTCTTTCACCTCATCAAACGCTTCGGAGCTTACGTTTCCTTCAAGATCTCCGATCTCTTCTCTCTCTCCTTCCATAGCCTCGTATTTCTCTCTCTTACCCTCAATTTTACCTTTTTTTTCTGTTCAATATTTGATCATTCTGTTGGATCTGATGCATGAATTAAACGTATTATTATTGTTGTTTGGTTGTCGAATTCGTAATTACATGTTCCTGTTTATGGTTGTATGAAATTTCGATTTTTTAATGAAATTTTTTGCCCCTTTTATGATTGATTGAATTTTTGGGAACCGGGGTTGGATAATTCTCAACCCAAAGACTGAAAGTTTGTTTTTTTGTTAGAAAACTGAACTGGGTTTTTTTAATTTAATGTTGGGTGTGGGTGAAAACTAGAAAGGATGAGTTTTTTTTATGTGTCATGGTTACTATCAAAATGGGGAAAAGTTTTTGACCTAATATTCATTATTGTAGCGCAATAGGTACGGTTTAAGTGGTATAAATGATCAAGGTAATGTTTTGGTCTTTTTGTGTAGCATGTGTACTTGAGGACTTTTAAAAATATCTGACTTCAATGATAACTATGTCTAATGATTTGTTGCAAATTGTGTATAAAACTTTTTATACAGATTGTGTATCAAAATTAAACTTGTGTTAATAATCCAAACCTCGTGGTACTGTACTTGGTGTTAGGATATACGCACTGTTGGGGCGGTTGCTGGTCTTGCTGTTGCAATTGTTTTCACATGGAGGCTGTTGAGATCTCCGAGTGATAATCAAGGGAGGCAAAGAAAACGGCAGGGTGCTGCATCTAGTAATCCTGGAGTCAGCAGCACACATTCAAATGCATCGGTTGTTCCTTCTGATGCTTGTTTACCTTCAGATGAATCAAGGGCGCAAAATGTTGTCGATGAGTTCTTTCAACCTGTCAAGGTATTATGTGTTTTTTTTGCACTTTTCTTTGTTTAATGATTCAGATTTCAGGCAATTTGGGAATGCTTTTGGATTAATTGACGGAAGATTGAGCTGTGTTTTTATAGCTTTGAATGTGATTGGAAGTTCTAAGTTTGCTTTTTCCGTAACTTTTTCAGCCAACCTTGGGGCAGATAGTGAGGCAGAAGTTGAGTGAAGGAAGAAAGGTAACTATTTGATGACACAAAAAAAACATTTTGTTTCAAGTTTGTGCTGTTAGATGTTAAGCGTTGATTTGCCCCATGTTTCTCGACTTCTATGACTAATGAGTTGTATGTAGGTAACATGCCGTCTTCTTGGAGTGATTCTCGAGGAAAACAGTCCAGAGGAGCTTCAGGTGGTGACTTTTGTCCTTTCATATAATTTTGCTTTATATTATGATGACATCAACCCAAAAAGATATCAATGATGTTCATTCTGTTTTCGGCAGAAACAAGCAACTGTGAGATCCTCAGTGCTAGAAGTCTTGTTGGAAATTACTAAATTCTGTGATTTATATCTCATGGAGCGGGTTCTGGATGACGAAAGCGAGGTGTGTGTCCCTTATCAGCATAAATCAATCACTTGTCACATCTTAGCTAATAATAAACTTAATGAAATTGATGCACAATTTTTCCATGTTGTATGCTGTAAACTCACCATTTTTCAGCGTTATCAATAATTTAAAATAACCAAATGGTTCTGTAAAGTTGAACTTTTGGAGCAATAATTTTTCAGTGAGATGTGTTATAGTTGCTTGAAGCAAAAAACCTTTCTCTAAGGTTCAGCATTTGGAACTTTTGTTGTCACCATTGTCAATAGAACATTAGATATACGAAATTTCGTTATTATTTTATGATTTTTTCCTGACGTGAAAACAGTCATACTGTTAAGTTATTAATATTACACAACTGCTATTTTGAGCTAGTTGAGAGAGATTATATATTTTTTACAGCTGTTAGTCTCAGATTTCAAACAAAAATTTATTGTAGGCCTAACCTGTTTTAGCATTCCATATTGTTAAACTGTTTACACTTTATATATTGGTTTTTTCTGCAGAAAAGAGTTCTTGTTGCGTTAGAAGAAGCGGGGGTATTCACTTCAGGTGGTTTGGTCAAGGACAAGGTATGTGAACACATCAAACAGTTGTGCTTTTCTTTTTAGAACTTAACTACCTTCTTGCTGGGCAGTGCTGCACTTTTCGTCAGCCAAGTTTGCACATAAAAAAGTACTTTTTCCACTTTATGAAGTCATCCTTTTGTGTGCGGTAGTTTACACATGTTGATTGACTACATGAAAATAGAATGTTCCAGAAAATGAGTGGTCAGCATATGTTGTTAATCCCAAATATCGTCGCGTAGCACTGATCCCCTAAAATGCTACCATCGCAACACTACTCTGCTATAGTGTGCTATGGACAACATAGCTATGGCTTAGGAGGGGTCACACATACATTCAATCATTTCCACCATGTAGATATTTGTGCTGTTTTTTTGTTGTTGAAATAATATTATAACATGACATTATGGGAAAATACTGGCAATGCATAATTATTGAACCCGTAATGATATACGTTTGCGGTCATTTGCTGGTTGTATATGCTCTTTTCAAGACAATCTTAGAATCTGAAATTCCAATACCCGCAAGAGTTATTAGTTTATTGTCTTCTTAGAAATGTCACAAAATTGTGATTTGTTGCAAATGTTTGTCTTGTGTATCTAATGAATGCTGTAAATGTCCACGAGTTCAACAAAATGCTTGCTGCCTACTTGTGCATATCGATACAAATTGGCATGTTAGAGATAACCTTTTTGTCCTCTATGCAGGTTCTCTTCAGCAGCACTGAGAATGGACGCTCGTCCTTTGTTCGGCAATTGGAACCAGATTGGCATATCGATACAAATCCCGAAATCGTCACTCAGTTAGCTGTATGTTACTTTATATCTCAACACCGTTCGGCTAGTAAATTATTAATCACCAAAACATTATTTGTCCCCTTATATTATGATGTGTTTCTAATGATTAACAACAAATGATGTTGCAGAGGTTTATCAAGTATCAGCTCCACATATCGCCGCATAAAACAGAAAGAACTGCAGCTAATGTGTTCAGCGCTCCAACCTTGGAACTCTTCTTCGGATCTGCATGAAAACCAAAAAACACTACTAATCACATAAATGTCTCTACTGGTTTGGTTTTGGTTTCTGTCTGCATCTTGGATTCAACCTTCAACCATACGGTTTTTCTAGATGAATGAGAAAACTAGGTTAGATTTTCTTCAAGCTTTAATGGGTTCTCTCACCCTAGGATGGTGAAAGACCCGTTCCTGTGCATGTGTATGATGCCTTGAGGAAGAAGTTTATATTTGTTTTCTTTGTTTACATTTTGTTTGAAATTTGTGCATTAGATTCAGACATTTTGAACCAAAAAAGTAGCAATTTATATTAGCTGTTTGTATTCTATGTATTTACACATTGATAATTTGTCATCATAACATTACCTTAAATTCCACAAAACCAACAAGTGCTATTATTGCATCTTTTTTTTTATAAATAAAATTTGTTTTAAATCTGAATTAAAAAGAACCAAGGACTAGTTGTGCCCTATGTCTTCCCAAATAAATGCTCAAACAAAAATTATTCGTACGTGTCTTTAAATTATTTGTATGTCATAGTCTAAACTATTGAAGGTATCATCAAATTGAAAAAAAAACAAAACTCTACTGTATAATTAAAGTATACTCTAGGTGACAACATAAGTAGAAATTTATGATGGTAATGGTAGGTGTAAATCATTACACAATATATTCCTCTTGTTATTTTGGTAGCTACCTAAGGTTAGGTGTCAATCTACTAAGATTTACAAAACTATAAATTTCTTGTGAGAAAAAAACTTGGAAATTTCTTATCCCAATCTATATCCTATGGAAAATTTTAGATTTCGAAGATGAATCTCCTATGGAAAATTTCAGAAGATGTATCTCCTGACACATTAGTTTAAATTAAAATGTTAATTGATTTGGTAATGCATATTTGAAATATTTTAAAACATACTCCATACATATATCTCTTTGAAATGTCCATTTCAAACATTTATTGATCCGCAAATGTATATCTGTTAAGGATTTACGTAGATGCATCTTCGTTTAAAGTTTATGAAGATGCATCTTCGTAACCTATTATAATAGTGCATGTTAAGTTAATTTTATGGTTATTCAGATGAAAATGACAATTTATAAATGTTAAGGATCTTGTTATGTGATGAACATTAAATCATACACTCGATATGCAAAAAATGACATACATAAATTCAGATGGTCAAAATAAGTCATCAGTTGATACACAATGAAGTTGAAATATACAATAGAGTCGAAATAAGATAAAATAAAATACAATCGATAATAAATTCAAAGTACAAATACTATTAACTACTCTATATGTCAAGGACAACAATGATGGACAATCGAAACACAATGAGGAATCTACCCAAGAAGAGACAAATCAAAGTGATCTTCCTCAAGAATGGAGAACCCATCGTGATCACTTAATTGACAAAGTTATCTATGACATAAGTAAAAGAGTTTCAACAAGATTTAATCTCAAGGATGTTTGCTTGAATATGATATTTGTTTCTCAAATAGAACCTTTAAAGACTGATGAAGCTTTAGGAGACGACCAATGGATACCTATCATGCAAGAAAAATTAAATCAATTCGAAAGGAATCAAGTTTGTGAACTTGTTCCTAGACCAAGTGGTAAACACATCATATGTACCAAATGAGTGTTTAAGAATAAACTTGACGAAAATGATATAATTGTTAGAAACAAAACAAAATAGGTGGCTCAAGGTTACAATCAAGAAATAGGAATCGACTTTGAAGAAACATTCACTCCAGTTGCAAGTTTATTATTTGCTTATGCTTGTTCATTAAGTTTATTACTTCAAGAGCACATTCTTGAATGGATAGATCAATGAGGAAATCTATGTCAAACAACCTCCCGGTTTTGAAGATTTCAAGAATCTTTCACTAGAAGCAAGCACCAAAAATATGGTATGATAGACATAATAACTTTTCACATGAAAGAGGATTTGAAAAAGGTAAAATTGATAACACGTTTTTTACTAAGAAAATTAAAAATCATACTTTATTCAAGTCTATGTTGATGACGTCATATTTGAATCAACAAACAAAGATCTATGTGAAAAATTTTCATTGATGATGAAATAAGAGTTCGAGATGTCTATGATGGATAAGATGAATTATTTTCTTGGACTACAAATTAAACAATTAAAGAATAAAATCTTCATCAACCAATCCAAGTACTGCAAGGAATTGTTGAAAAAATTTGATATGGAGAATTGCAAAGAGATTACTACTCCAATGGGTTTTAGTACATATGTTGATCAAGTGAATTTGGTATTTCTATTGATATCACCAAGTATCAAGGTATGATTGACTCCTTACTATATTTGACGGCAAGTCGTCCTGACATTATGTTTAGTGTTTGTCATTGTGCACGATTTCAAGCAAATCCAAAGGAATCTCGTCTTGCCTCCGTAAAAAGGATCATGAAATATCTCAGGGAAAACAAAAAATGTCTGACTGTGATATCCTAAAGGTAGCATATGTTATTTAGTTTGTTATTCTGACTCGGTTTATGTATGTTGTAGAAATGATCGCAAAAGCACAAGTGGAACATGTTACATTCTAAGAAATGCAATAGTGTCATTCTCTTGTAAGAAACAAGTGTGTGTTGCTCATAGATACAACACAAACAGAATACATAACAATGAGAAGTTATTGTGCTCAAATTCTATATCTAAAACATCAACTTTGTAATTACGATCTTGTTCTTGGATGCATTCCACTTAGATGTGACAACACAAGCACAATTAACATAACAAAGAATACGATCATGCATTCTCGTACCAAACACGTAAACATTCAAAATCACTTTCTACGTGATCATGTACATAAAGGCGACGTCGAAGTCACATTTATGGATACTCATAATCAACTAAGAAACATTTTTACCAAGCCGCTTACGAAAGAGTCTTTTTTCAAAATAAGGAGGAAATTAAGCACTTTGGATGAAAACAATATATGAAGAATCTCAAAATTCATTGATTTTCAATAAGAATGATCTTTCAAATTTATCAAAGATACATTATATTTAATCAACATTATAAATTTCAAGAATTTCACAATTCCATTTGTGAAGTTATTATTTTGTTTATCTATAGCTAGTTTATTTTTATGTGTATGAGATGTTAAATGACTATAGGTGGTGATTAAAAGACATTTACATAGGCTCTTGAACCAAAAACATATCAAAAGTTATATATATATATATATATATATATATATATATATATATATATATATATATATATATATATATATATTAGGGCTGGAAATGAGCCGAGTTGAGTCGAACTCACCTCAGATCGGCTCGACTCGTTAAAAATTGTTCGAGTTCGAGTTCAATACGAACTTCTTTTTAAGCTCAAACTCGACTCGTTATAAGTTCACGAACAGTTCGGTTCAACTTGTTAAGTTCATCTCATTAGGTTCAACTCACATGATTCACGGACTTAAAAACTATTTTTTTACATATATATATATATATATATATATATATATATATATATATATATATATATATATATATATATATATATATATATATATATATATATATATATATATATATATATATATATATATATATATATATATATTAGTATATTTGACATTTTAAATAAATATATTTTTTTAAAATAAAATATTAAAATAAAATACAAGTTATCATATTGAAATTTAACTTTATCTTCGAAATCTACTAATTCAAAACCTACACAACTTTCAAGAGATACATTTGAGAGTCTAATTCAAAAACTACTAAATTGAAGATTAAATTTGTCTAAGATTTGGAGTAAATATTTAAACCTAATCTTAAAGACAGTATAGTTCTTCTCATATGTAATCGAGTTGACTCATGAACCTAACGAGTCAAACTATGTATAGTTCAAGTTCAACTCATTTAGTTAACGAACTTAATTTTTCGCTCATACTCAACTCATTTGGTTCATGAACCTAGTTCAACAATTTAATTGCCGAATCGAATTCCGAACTATTTTCGAGTTGGTTCAGTTCATTGCCATATATATATATATATATATATATATATATATATATATATATATATATATATATATATATATATATATATATATATATATATATATATATATATATATATATATATATATATATATATATATATATATATATATATATATATATATATATATATATATATATATATATATATATATATATATATATATATATATATATATATATATATATATATATATATATATATATATATATATATATATATATATATATATATATATATATATATATATATATATATATATATATATATATATATATATATATATATATATATATATATATATATATATATATATATATATATATATATATATATATATATATATATATATATATATATATATATATATATATATATATATATATATATATATATATATATATATATATATATATATATATATATATATATATATATATATATATATATATATATATATATATGTTTTTGATTGGCTGCATTTTGTGGCAAAACATTGTTGTATGGATAAATATCATAACTGATGTTATGACATATATAAGGACTGCTCTGCAGGGTAAGTTTGAATAGCTAAGAGCCAAGTAAGTTGGATGTCATGCTGGATGTTATGACATCAAGCGTATAACATCATGGCGCGTGTTTAAGTTTTCTGGTATTAGCTCAGGCTATACTTCAGGAAACATTTTAGGAAACCTAGTTATCTCAGGCGACATGTCAGGCATTGCTGAGGATAACATGGAATGCCCCTGAACTAATTGGGAGTGCGCAGGTTCATGAAGAGTTGTTTTAATTGGGTAAATCTAACTTTTGCATGAAGGCCCAAAGACAATCTGCTGCTATAAATAACAGAGGATCAATCCTAATCAGACAGAGATTGAAGAGTGTGTATTGTGAGTGAAGAAGTCTGACTGCATCAGTTGTTCTTCACGTGTGTAGTGTGTCTTAGGAATACTTGTGAGCCAAG